GGTTCAACTTTTATTATTATTATTATTATTATTATTATTATTATTATTATTATTATTATTATAAGTTGTAACCATTAAACTCTTATATCAAATTGAGCTCGTGATTGACAATCATTATTTAAAAAACTTTTTTATATATACTCATTTTAAATTATACATTGACAAAATAAAATATTTTACACATAAATCTAAAATTTTTTCCTACTTTTTAATTAAATATTCTTCTAAAAATCACTATTCAAAAAATTATTTTTTCCTAAATAATGACCATCAAACATAGGAGAAAATAAGGACCAAACATGCAGCTGAGGGGCCGGAGGTTCAGGGACGAGGATATATAGTCTGGCGCAAGCTGGGACACCTCGTTAAAAAATAAAAAAAAAAAAAAAAAAATAAGGACCAAACATTTTGGGAGCATCATAACATCCTTCAACAAGTAATGCTATTTATAGTGAAAATTATCGATAATCGTCCTATGTGACATACACGTATCAATTGGTTATAGAATAAACCTAATTTGTCTGTATAATTTGCCAAAAAATTTGACATAATTACATGTGACAGTGAATGATTAGATGAAAAAATTGACTGTATTTTAAATTATCCAATGATAAAATATCATTTGATATTATGTCAAAATTTTATGTCGACCTTGATATTAGTGGAACATGACTAAAAGATGACTAGAAACAGGATTCCCATCCGTACAGCCAATTACGTAGTCAAACTCTCAAAAAAATAAAAAAAATAAATAATAATAATAATAATAATAATAATAATAATAATAATAATAATAAGAAAAGAAAAAAAAGGACTTTACAGAAACTCCAGCCAATCAAAAATCGACAACATTTCTGATGAAACCACTCTGGTTTAGCAATACCACATCTGAAACTATTTCACATCCCAATACAAATATAGATTTTTTCACTTGTGTATGTACATGTTCTTACATCTTTAAATTTAACTCAAACGTTGTCTCTTGTCCGTGCATATACATAGAAATACTCAAACATCATTCATCGTTCTTAATCTATTTGTATGCAAGAAAACTATAGAGACAGATTTTTGTTGGGTCTTTTAGAGAGGAACAGAATGGGTAGAGGAAGAGTACAATTGAAGAGAATCGAGAACAATATTAATNGTAATGGACTTGATCTTGGGTTTCCAAGATAATAAATATACTCGAGTAACGAGATGTTATTCTATATGATCATGAGGAGCATCGCTAGGTTGCTTGAAGGTTACTTATTTATGGGAGTAAGTTTTCTTCTATTGCAATCCTTTCTCTATCTTTCTTTTTTTTTTTAATCTGTAAATGTAAAATCTCTTGATCAAAACTCTTTTATTACACTCTTGATTTGAGGTTAGGAATCTTGTAAGCCTCGTATCATGTATTATTTTTATTGTTAACAAAATAAGTCAACTATAGTCGGGGGCAGATCTAGGAAATATTTTAGGACGGCCTAATGCGTGTTTATTTATTTAATTTTTTTTTTAAATTATGAATTGGGAAGGGGGTACGGGTTGTAGCACATACCAGCCCCTCAAATCCACCATTGACTATAGTAAATTTATTAAGAAAACAAAATCTACATAGGATTTTTGGATTAGTCTCTCTCCCGAGAAATGGTATATGTACAAGGAATTTGTACAAGGACTAAGACACTTAACAATTTTTCATTGGGCGTCAACAAAAAAATAAATTAAAAATTAGAAAATGAGTTCTGGGAAAAATGGAGCTCAAACATAGGCAAGCCCCGTTTGGCCCTCATTACTTGTGTTTTTCTTCTTATTTTCAATTACACAATATTTCGTATAATAATATTACACATAAACTAGGGATGTCAAATGGACCAGTCGGCTCGGCTCGGACTCGTCAACACGAGCCGAGCTCCTGATGGCCCACAAGCCTAAAGTTCATATGCTCGTGGGCTCGTAAAAAATGTGAAGTTATCTCACGTCAATGGTGTAAAGGATAGGAGTAAGGTTATCTCACGCCTCATTGACAGCCGCAGTGTGATTGTTCGATTCCTGAGACATGGAATTGGACTCCTTGTAAGCGTAGTGTACAGGTAGGTGTTGTTCCCTGGCCTGCTGGGATACATCCTGAGATTTACCTCTCTCACAAGATTCTAGGAATAGGGCCGTGGGGGCCCTCAAGGTTGGAGATCAACTTTAAAAAAATTGGAAAATTTTCAAAAAAAAGAAAAAAAAATTTGAGCTCGTGGGCCGAGCTGAGCCACCTCTAACATAAACAAAAAATTTGTCTTTCCTTTTTCAATCACACATTCTTCAAAAAACACTATTCCAAAAATTATAATTCCAATATTATCTTCTATTCCCAATTATTATTATTATTATTATTATTATTAATTTTTTTTTTTTTTTTTTTTTTTATCTTCAAGTTCCCAAACAAAAGTGGTATTAGAGCAAAGTTATAACTGTGAAAAGAATAGATGGCAAACTAATTATATTTATAATACATAGTGTATTCGTATGAAGGCATATCTTGAAAGTAGGATTTGATAGAGATATGTTTTGAATCTCAAAATGAAGAAATCATCTTTCAACCAGAAAGAGAAAGGATCAAAAGGCTTTTTAAAATTCGTTTGACATAACTTTTGAAAAAATCGAAAGGAGCTCTTGTGATCAAAAGCTCCTTTTGATCCCTTTGCCATGACAATTTTTTTTTTTCTGTTGACTTGGGCCAAAGTGTGTTACATTTTGGCAAGTTTTTATCACCCTTTAATGTAGAATCTTCAGTTGCAACAATATCTAAATCATTCATCTTTGTTCATTTTCTGCCGACCTCGTAATTATAGGGATGTTGAGAAGATATTCTTAATCATATTGTATCATCTAACAATAGTTACTTATGAGGTGTGTATGAAATTTGTTTAAATGAAAAAGCTATATCGAATACTGATTTCGCTATTATTGAACTTCATTTTTTTTTTTAAAAACCCTTTTTTAAAAAAATCATTTTCAACGCAAATCGAAAACGTTCCTTTCTTTTTAAACAACACGTATTCCCAAAAATCACTATTTTAGAAAGCATTAACTCCAAAATGGGATTCAAACAATAGGTAATTAGCACATAATGTTCTTACATTTCACTATTATTGTGGAAAATGTCTTTATTTTCATTTTTTTCGCATTGTCATCACTATTTGCATCTTTTATTGCATAAAAGGTCATTTTCATTCATTTTTCTCAATTAAAAGTTGTGAAATGACGAATATATCATTTTATTTAAATAAAACAAAAAAAAAGAATTAATTGTAATCATAATCCTAAATTTTTTTGAAAAAGTGCAAATGAATCTTAAATAAATTATTAAAAGGGCAATTTGCAGAAAATGTCCATACCTTTCACTATTATTGTAAAAAAATATAAAAAATATCCATACATTTCAATTTTTTGGGGGGATTTTCACTCTTAATTACACCTTTAATTGCGCAAACCATCATTTTTATCCGTTTTCATCCAATTTCTCAATAAAAGCTGTGAAATAATTAATATACATTCCCATTGAATTTTATTTTTTAAAAAGAAAAATAATTTTTTTAATTTCAAATTTTTTATTTGGGATTCATTTACACTTTTCTTAATTTCTGATTTTTTAATAATTTATTTGGAATCGTTTGCACTTTTTTATTTCTCATTTTTTTAATAATTTATTCGGGACTCATTTACATTATTAAAAAAAAATTGAAACTATGGTTGCAATTAGTTCTTTATTTTTTATTTTTCTTTCTTATTTAAATAGTAGGGTATATTTGTCATTTTACAAATTTTATTGAGAAATTAGATAAAAATAGATAGAAAATATGATTCGCAACAAAGCTGTAATCAAGGGTGAAAATGCAAAAAGAAAAAAAATCATAATAAAAAATAAAAAGTAAAAATGAAATGTATGGACGTTTTTCATAATAATAGTGAAAGATAGGGATATTATGTGCTAATTACCCTTTTATTAATTGATTTGGGTCTCGTTTGCACTTTTTAAGAAAATTGGGACTATAGTTGTAATTGGATCTTCTTTTTTCTTTTTCTTTTATTTAAATAGAAGGATATACTTGCCATTTCACAATTTTTAATTGACAAAATGACTTTTTGTGCAATGAAATGTGGAAATAGTGGTGAAAATGTTAAAAAATAAAAGGTAATGATATTTTTCACAATAATGGAAAAAATTAAGGACGTTATGTGCTAATTACCCTTCAAACAATAATATATCATATTACGTATATAGAAGTTTCATGATTAATCACGTCTTCGATCCAACATAGATTCACTTTTTACTTCGAAATAATTATAACTAGATTTGCAATTTTAAGTCATATATAGAAAATAAAAAGACCATAGTCAATATTAATTGATTAAAATTAGTGAGAAAGAGATTAATTTTAATTCAAGATCTTTCTGGGCCTGTGGTAGTGTAATTATGGAACGTTAGATTGAATAAAAAAAAGACACGGGTAAACAAGAAAAAAATGTTAAAAATTTTGTGTTGTCCGGTTAATCTACATATATTTTTTCGTATTAATCTAAATCCTTCATTATTTACTCTGTTCTTAAAAACGGATTAGAAATATTAGATCCATAGCTATTTATAACTTTCAATCAAATTCTTTCATTGCCGTTATTAATATATTCAATGGACTTATTTGGTTTACAATTATTACTTGTGAAGTATTGGAGTGTTTGATATGTAATATTAGATAATATTTTACAAAATAAGTAGATAACGAACTTGGAAAAAATTAATTTTATACAACAAATATTTTGGAATTTGTTTGAGGCATGCGTTTATTTCTTGAATATTACCTGGTATAAAAATAAATAAATAAATAAATAATGCATTATCTATGTTTTACTTAAAAGTTCTATTGATTTATTGTGCTAAAATTACTTATCTAGATGGCTTTTTACATAATTAATAGATATTTTGATATTATAGTTTATAACAGAAATTTTTGCAATCTTTTATTACAGCATGGAAAAGATTCTTGAACAATATGAAAGTTATTCATATGCAGAAAAGAAGAAAACAACTAATGTTGAGTCACCTGTAAGTGGGAAAAAAATTTCATGACTGCATTTTATTTATTTATTTTATGTTTTTTCAAATTCTGATATTGAAATTTACTGTGATTTTTTGATAGGTAAGTTTGAATCTGGAATATGTAAAGCTTAAGGCTAGAGTGGAGGTTTTGCAGAGAAACCAAAGGTTCATATTTTTTTGATAGCATGTTTGCTGAGCTTAAAAAAAGTTAAAATTAAGTTAACATGTTTGGATAAACTACTTTTTCTTCTTACTTTTAAGTAAATAAAAATGATAGTTTTAAAATTTAACTAACTTATTTCGAGTATTGGTGTGGATACTTTTAAGTAAAACTAGTTACTTTACTTCTTAAAAAAGTTAAAATTAAGTTAACTTGTTTAGATAAGCCACTTTTTTTTTTACTTTTAAGTAAATAAAAAATGATATTTTTAAAACTTAACTAACTTATTTTGAGTATTGGTGTGCATACTTTTAAGTAAAAATAGTTACTTTACTTCTTAAAAAAGTTAAAATTAAGTTAACATATTTAGATAAGCTACTTTTTTCTTACTTATAAGTAAATAAAAAAAGATATTTTTAAAACTTAACTAACTTATTTCGAGTATTGGTGTGAATACTTTGTTCTAAGTAAAACTAATTACTTATAAATAGACTTCTTTAAGCTTAGCAATAGATGTGGCTAGTCTTTTATTTAATGATTTTCCTCTAAAAGCTTAAATGGTTAGATATATTATAAATTTTATTTATTTGTTTTGTATTCCAACATTCTACTTCACGCGTAAATCCTAATAAACTTTTTGCAAGCGTTTGACACGTAAAATTTTCATAAATATGCGGTGCGAGAAGATTTAACCTCGAATTTGTTTGCTTTGACAATAAATTAAATCATATATATAATTCTCGACAAAGTTAAATACAAATTAAACTTCAAAAGGGGTGCCTGTAGTAAATGAAAGAAACAATACAATAAGGCAATGAATGTGCCAAAATAATTTCTTTCTTTAATCTTTGCAGGAACCATATGGGAGAGGACTTGGATTCCCTGAGCTTGAGACAGTTGCAAAATTTGGAAAATCAGATTGATGTTTCTCTTAAACTCATTCGATCTCGCAAGGTAAAAGCTATTATTTATTAGTCGAAAACCTCAACTATTATGGAACTTTTTTTTTGAAAAAACAATGAAGTCACTGAAATCAAGAGTCTCCCTTCTGTAGAACCAACTCATGAATGAATCTGTTTCTGAGCTTCAAAGAAAGGTAAGAACTTTTACCTTACATTTTATTTTATTTATTTATTTTTTTTTTTTGAAAAATGAGCATGATATTTAAGTTATTTCTACGAAGAAATCCAACAACAAATGAAATTTTATGAAAATTGTACTCTAACATATAAAAGCTTGGACAACTTTTGACATGAGTCCCAAAACTTAGCGTGCTTTGATATTATCGTTATTTATAAGGAATTCATTCTATGTAGTATCACTACGTGAGATTATTTTTAATTTTCTCGATCTAATTTGGTCTTAAACAACTTCGTCAATTATAGAGGATTAATTTTTTCAGCAAGAATACATTGACGTATGTCTAAATATCAAAATCAATTTCTATAATTTTCTACCTCACAATTTCATTGCAGGATAAGGCATTGCAGGTGCAAAATAACATGCTTATGAAGAAGGTAAACTCTAAAATCCATCCAATATTAGATATTGGTGTTTAATGTATAACTTCACTTGTATTCAATTATGTACCTGCCAGCAATATATAGCCAAAAATGCATGATGTACAATAGCATTCACGAAATATATATACACACTAAGCCTTTCGCTATGATCATGTAAATATATATGTATTTTTAGGTCAAAGAGAAGGAAAAAGTACTGGCACAAACTTCTCAGTTGGAACAACAAAACCATGATATGAACTCATCTTCTTTTGGTCTACCCCAGCCTTTGAACTTCTTCAATTTCAGGTACTCTCTCTTTCTCTATGTATATATATGTTTGTGGAAATCGTTGAACTCAAGGGCGGATCCATGATTTTTGTTAGCGAGGGATGAAATTAAAATTAAAATTAAAATAAATAAATAAATAAATAAATATATATATATATATATATATATATAT